CACACACACACACACACACACACACACACACACACACTGACTTGTTTGTCTGCTTCCCTTATGCCCATGTACAAAGTGCAAACCCTAGAGTGTTAGGACTGTATGTGTTTGGTTCACTGTCCAACCATACCACTAGAACACAGGGTACCACCTGGAGACCTTTCCTTGCAGGCTAAATGAATGGAAGAATGAATGGGAGGGACTTGGAAGATGGCTCAGTCAGCGAAAGGCTTGCCTTGGAGGGATGAGGACCCGAGTTCCAATCTCCAGCACCCAAATAAAGCCTGGCTTGGTGATATGTGTGTATCTGTAATCCCAGAGCTAGGGAAGTAGAGACAAGCAGATTCCTAGTGCTCACTGGCCAGCCAGTCTAACTGAATTCACGGCCTCTAGCTTTAATGAGAGACTCTGTCTCAAAAATTAAGATAGAAAGCGATTGATCATGAGACCACCCAGTGCTGACCTTTGGCCTCCATATATACAGATATACATGTGGCCTCTCACATACATATGCACACATTCACATGAACATGTATGTAATACACCACACACATCCACACACACACAGACAAGGTGAGCCAGAGTCTAGGTCTGACTCCCTGTCGCCAGGTTACCTGTGGGTACCCACTTACGTGACTCACCTGGCTGCCAGAGAGACGGGCTTCCGGGAGGTGTAGATGGTCTGGACTGTGGACACGGTCTCTGTCAGTGGCCGCAGGGTCGCGGTGGGAATCAACGGGGAAGACTGGCCAGGGCAGCACTGCAATTTGTTCTCTCTAAAGTCTGCCTGGAGAGGAAACAGACAAGAAAGATCAGTCTCCAGGCCCACCCTCACGCTGTCAGCGGCTCCGCTGGCCTCGCTGTGCCGCTCTTGTTATCTTAATAACAGCTAAAGTCATCGCACCCTTTCAAATTATCTTAAACGATCTTGCTCTGTGCCAGACCCCAGGCTAAGCACCTTCCATACGTTATCTCTTGACAGCCTGTAAGACAGAGATCATCTATCACTGCATCTTAGAAGGCATCCTTTGGAAGGTGCATCGTTTCTGTGTGCACCACGGGAAAAGCGAAACATGGTACTCAGACATCGCTATGTTATATTGTGTAGTAAACATTGTGATCGCAGGGCCGGAGCGATGACTCAGTGGTTAAGTGCATTTGCTGCTCCTGTGGAGGACCTGGGTTCAATTCCCAGTTGCTCTGGAGTTACAAATGGTTATGAGCTACCATGTGACTGCTGGGAGCCAATCCCAGGTCCTCTGCAGGAATAGCCAGCGTCTCTCCAGCCACTTCTTTTTTTAAAATACATACTTATATATATATATGTATATATATAAATATAAAAGATAAAATATGTAATATATAATATATGTGTGTGTATGTGTGCATATATACTTGATTTGTTTTAATGCTGGTTCTTAGTTCTGAATTTTGAGACATTTACCACCCAGCTTTCTAAAGACGCTCTGATCTTTGAGTGCACAGGTTCCCTTCTTGGTGATGGTACAGAAGAGGAGCTGTCTTTGAAAGTCTGCTGCAAAGAAGCACAAAACCCTGTTTGTGTCCTAAGAGGGAGACTAACTTGTCTGAAACAGAGACACACTGAGGAACGATTGCTGTTGGGTCTCTGTCGAAGCGTCCCTTTGGAGAAGCAGCTCCCCACGCCAGTGTGTCACGTGTACAGGCACGCACATGCGCGTCTAGCAGGTGAGGCTTGCTACAGAGAACTGTGTGCAGGTGGCACTCACTTGAGCTGTTGGTCAGGTCGCTCTGACTCACCAGTTTCCAGGTACACAAGGAGGATGGAACCTCACGGCCTTTCTCAAGTTGGGGGAGACCATGGGCTTTGCTGTGTTCAGTGAGATAAGGGGCGGTGCTGTGCTTCCTTCCACCGGAGACTTTAAGGACCGAGTACGCGACTTGCTTCTCTCTTCCTTTAGGCCATCGTGACTGGTGCTGCTCCACACAGCAGGCAGCAGGACCATAAGCCTGGGCAGCACAGAGCAGAGCCCTCAGGATGCCTTTGAGATGCAGGAAGTCGGTCTGGGTCTTGTTTAAAAACCCTGGCCTGCACGGCATACCAGGAGGCCCCAGTGAGTGGATGGTGGGGGGGGGGTGGCTTCTGGGGCCACTTCCGAGGCCACTGACAGTGCAAAGGCACCGGCGGATGGATAGAAGAGATGAGGTCCCAGGACGAACGCCAAGTGTGTCAGCAGTCGCGACACTCATTACTGTTGTGCGCCCATGTTGTGGGGGAGGGGAAACGACACCAGTTACACGTAAGAATATCCTGAAGCAGCGGCAAGGTTTCTTATTAAGCCCTAACCCTTATCTTTTTTTTTTAAAAAAATACTTATTTATTTATTATGTATACAATATTCTGTCTGTTTGCCTGAAGGCCAGAAGAGGGCACCAGACCTCGTTACAGATGGTTGTGAGCCACCATGTGGTTGCTGGGAATTGAACTCAGGACCTTTGGAAGAGCAGTCAATGCTCTTAACCGCTGAGCCATCATCTCTCCAGCCCCCTTAACCCTTGTCTTTTAAACTATCTCTTAAATGATGGGCTGATGTGTTAACTTTCAGTGGAAGGAAACAGGCAACAGAGGAACACGGCAGGTTAGGAAAAGGAACTCGGGCTAGACGCAGACAGGGATCATGTGAGGAGGACTTGTGGGTCTAGGTGGAGTGACTTTAGTTTCTGGGTATGGAAATCTAATACCACGGCCCGAGAGAGGTCACCTGGTTGATATGGACCAACATTCTCTACTAGAATCAATGAAGAAAACTCAGAGTCAAACAGGGACCGGATCCACTGCCAGCTCAACTTTGGACTGAGTCCTCTAGAGCTGTCAAGTCCCCTGCAAGCAGGACAGGCCTGGGAGCTTGTAGAGCATTTAAGTTTCTTGTCCTTGGATAGAAGCAGCCACCTTATGAAGGGGTGAGAATATTAGGAAAGAGAGGCCACGAGTTTGGCGTCTGTGGCCAACCGGCTGTCAATCCCAGCTGTCTTTGCTCTCAGCTACTCCCCACATCTTTCAAAGGCCAGCACATCCTGCAGGTTTGCCCTTTCTCACAGTCCAGGCCTCTTCTAGGCCCTCAGCCTTATGGTTTAGATGTGAGCGGGTCACCAAAATGAGTCCTGTGTTGAAGGTTTGTTCCCCATATGAAGAGAAAGGTGATGGAAGCAAGCAAGAAGGAACTCACTTACTAACCATCTCCTAGCCGAGTGGGCTATCGGGAAGTGGGAGCTAGTGGGAGGACGTGGACCACTGGGGGCGTTGCTTTGGAAGGTGTATCTTCTTCCCAGGCCCCTCCTTGGCCACTTCCTGCTTCTGGCTGCTGCAGGAGCAGCTTTCCTCTGCCAGCCCGTGCACTATGCTGTCTCTGCTTTGTGTTAGGCCTAAAGAGCCAGCTGGCCATCTGTCGAGACTGCTGAAGCAGTGAGTCCCAGGGACTCTTTCCCTTTTGACGTTGTTTTTCTCAGGGACTTAATCACGGTGATGGGAATCTCAGCAAATGGACTCGCTGTCTGTCTAGGTTCTGGATGGCGGACATATGGCAACTATTTGTCCCTCTCCCTCACCAATTTAGCATCTTCCCAGCCACCTAAACCTCTCTCTCAACTGCACACTTCTCCCTGCCTCTCCCATCAAAATCACTCAGGGGCAAGCCCTTCGCACACTCTCTCTTAAGCTACTGCCCTGGAGTTATTTCTAGACTACAGTTCTAAACCTGTTCTGTCTGGACCCAAATGCTCTCCCACTGTGATCACACAGCGGCTTCCCCAAAGCGTCTGCCCTGTCGCCTCCCTGTTCCAGCATCTTCCAAGGGCTTCCCATTGTTGTTGGGAAAGGGCCAGGCACGGCTTTGCTCCTACAGCACTTGCTCCTCCTTCTCTCACCCCAGGCTCCTGCCCTCTGGATTCCAGCTCCCTGTCCTTTCCAGCCCCTTGAACGTGTGGCGGCCTGTCGCTCCTCAGGTCTCCAGTTCATGCTGTCCCCTCCGTCTGCTCCAGCTGCCTTGGAGCCACTCTTGCCCAGTTCTTAGCAAGCCCACTGTGACTGCTGACATTAGCTTCCAGCTCCATCTGCACCCCCAGCTTTCAAGAAGGGCTTCTTGCAAGTGTGTCTCATCACTGCCAAGGCTGGGAAGGACCAGAGGGCTCCCATCATGACCAGCTGAGGGAAGTGGAGCCGATCTTCCAGCTGAGGATCTACGCCTAGCAAAACTGCGGGGTGGGTTGGCTGGACAAGCACCAGGCAATGGCACGGGACATCTTGAACTGTACAGAGTTCAGGTAGCTATTCCTTTCATTAATGTGAGCTCTTGACCCTAGAAATAAATGTCCTAGGCAACTAGTTTCCCTCCACATAGAGATGGCCAACAACCTTCTCACCTCTGTCTATCTTTTGAAACCTTCCACACCATGGGCTGAAGCCTCCTTAGGCAGTGACCATGAGCTAGATTACTTTGAACTCAGGGCTGGACCTCAGGCCCCCTGGAGACCCTCCAGGGAAGGCAGAAACTGAGTCTCAGGGATCACATGAGTCCAGAAATGCATGTTTCAACCAGGCTATTTCTTATTACCATTCCTAGGGAGATGGCTCAGTAGGTCAAGTGTTTGCTACAAATGAGGACCTAAGTTCTATCTTCAGAACCTACGTTAAGTAAGGCATATGTGGTTGTGCGTGCTTGTGATCCCAGAACTGGGGAAATGGAGACAGGAGGATCTCTCGGGCTCAGTGGCCAGCCAGCATTGGTAAGTCAGTGAACTCCAGGTCTAAGAGAGACCCTGTGTCAAGAACTAGGTGGATGGTACCAAAGAAATGATCTCTAAAGTGTTTATTTCCCTTTCTGTCTGTCTGTCTTTCTCTCTCTAACACACACACTACATACACTTACTGCACACATGCACACAAACACATGTATGTGTGCACATCCTCAGACATGAAAGCAGATGGTCTGTGTGATAAAGGGACTTACCAAAGACCACACATCATTATCAAGATGCAGATCCAACCCACGACAACGGAAAACAGGTATTAAAACAAATACCCAGCACACACGACAGCACTGTTTCTAATTGCCAAAAGTGGACACCACCCAAATCCCCATGAATAAGCTGATGGGTAAACAGATTACAGTAAAAGCATACTGCAAAATAGCATTCTACCATAAAAAGAAAGGACGTGTAGAATCATGCTCCAAAGTGGATGGGTCTGAAAACACGATGCTAAGAGAAAAATGTCGCTGGGCCACAGGGGCACACGCCTTTGAGACTAACACTCAGGAGGCAGAGACTAGCCTGAACCACAGAACTGGACCCTAAAAGCAGACATGAGACAAAGGGAACCACAGAGGATTAGTGGGAACGAGGAGGGGCAGGTACCCGATATACAATATACACTTGTATGAACCTCTTTAAAACTAAAATTTAATTTTTAAAAATCTCGTGTGTTTTTAAAACAGTGGATAAAAACAGAGCTGAGAGCCCCAGTACCCACAAAAGAGCTGGACTGGCATGGTGGCTTGCTTGTGATTCTAGCTCTAACGGCAGAGACAGGGATGCTTGGGGTAAGTTAGCTAGCTAGACTAGAGCAACTACTGGTGCATCCTGGGTTTGGCAAGTCTTTGCCTCAGTAAAGGGTATGGATGGTTACCAAAAAAAAAAAAAAAAAAAAAAGACCCCCGGCATCAACCTATGGCCTTCACACAAGTGTGCACACCTGTGTACCTGCACACAAGCATGTATACACAAACACACACACACATCCACACTGAAAAAAGTAGGTCTAACCCTTATCTAATCTTTAAAACTACCCAGACATTCAGTGAATTTTGTGAGTACCCAATGCCCTGGAGAGGCAATGGAAAGGAGAGACAGAAAATACTTGCCTTTCTCTCTTTCAGGAAGGACTCTCAGAAGGAGAGGGAGGCAGTCATTGCTCCACAGACAACGCAAATGCTACTGAACAGTCTTAATATGGTTCATTTTCTATAGTGAATTTCACCTTAAGTAAAACAGACCCCAACCTCCGTGCCCTCTTGTCCCCACAGCCTTCCCGGAAGGAAGTAAAGGCTTGCGATGCGGCCCTGACATCTACGGCTACTCACAGTGAACTGTGGCCCTGTGATGAAGGGATCAGGAAACGGGTTCATCATCGGTTCTGCCGGGAATGTTTTTATCTTCAAAAAAAAAAAAAAAAAAAAAGGACAAAGGGTTATACAACTTCATGTCAGCAAACATTTTGCAGTCTTTACCGGTAAACCTTCAGAACTGAGAGGAAGGATCCCAGACAGTTCAGGGGCCTTCATCTCCCTGCAGTGGAGGAGGCAGGCTTGTCTGTCTGCCTGGGTTACATGGCATGGCATGTTTGTCTTGCCTAGAACTCCCTTTATGGGGACCTTCAGGTCTCTGTGTCCCAGGCCTGCTTCAGAAAAGGTTACACTCCAGGTAGATGAGGAGGCAACCTCAATGGACCTGGGGATGACCTCTGAGGGCTTCGCCACAGCTGTGGGACATGGCAAGAGGCTTCTGAATGGTCTATTGGGGACGCAGGATATCTCAGCTGGTGGGGCCAATTTAACCAGAAGGCAGTCCCTGACAAATGGCCTGCATTGTTCAACCCCTGAGTAGCAGAACTTCTTGGGAGAGCACAAAGTATCTGACCACTATGACCTCTGGGAACAGAAGGTAACGCACTTGGAAGTGAGCAAAGCTACTTTCAGTGAGGCTGACGCCCCAGCCGGCAGTGAGGCTAGGTTCCCTTTCTTTCTCTTTTGTCCATTTCATCTCTGGCTTCTTGGAGGTCTTGGAAAGGGCTTATTTCTTTGAGCCAGTGTACACCAGGAAAGCCAGAGATCGGGCGATTGTATCACTAGCTCTGTCTGTAGTCCTCAGATCCAGACAACACCTTACACCCGTGCAGGCAAGGACTGTTGAAAGGCACACAGACCAGGCCTGCCCAGGGGCAGCAGCTTTGTGTCCTGTGGGATCTTGCTTGTGGACTCCAGGACAGTACCTTGGCACGCCCATGCCGTTCTAAAGGGGAGGGAGGCACAGGGACATTGCTACCTAGACTCGACTCAGGATCTGATTTCAGAACAGGCTGAACAGGTGTTCGCCACTATGGGGGTGACAACATCTTTACAATGTATATACAGTGATGTTCACCCCAACCCAGCTTTCCTTTTGGTTAGATTTGTTCAAATGAATACCCCAAAATTCCCAGAATGAGCCCCAAGCTTCCAAAGACTCTTGAGCCAAGACCTGGCAGTACATTCTCTTTGCCTGGTCTAAAAGGGTGACACAGCATTTGCAAACAAATGTCACAGAGAAAAGAAGTCTGCAGGTAAGCTCTCAGGCCAACCAGAATAGACAGGAAGTGCTTCCTTATGGCTGTTAATAAAATGTGGAAGTTAGCTTCAGACAAGCGGCCTTTCAGGGCTGCCTAAGAAACTACATTCCCATGATGCCCCAGTGCTCACTGGCACAGCAGAACACACGGCATTCTGGTGGCACTTTCCAACTCTGGAACCATTTCAGAAGGAGGCAAAAGCCAAAGCCATCCTCCATCACTCCAAAGGGTCTAGACTAAGGAAATGAAACCCCCAGACACAAAAAACGCTCCATGGTCCCTGAAGCAGTGACCAGTGGCAAATAGCACACTTCCTAACACGAGGGACTGAGGCCCACGGTGCCCCTTTTGCTGGATGGAACATAAGTGGCCACGCAGGACGAGAAAAACGGGAACACGGCAGAAACATCACAGGGCTACATGAAAGGAGAAAGCCTGGCTACTACCACTTAACAGGTAGAATTATGAATGAACATGGATAAACAGAGGAAAACATGCAAAGATAACAATATGCACAATCAGGGTTAAGATGGCTCCTCTTACGTCATCACGTAAGTCATGTCATGACATCAGTAAATAGAGGGGAGGGTGAATTTAAAACTTTATTTGTCACAGGACAGACACTTAGGACCCCAGAAGGTGACTACCAGGGTGTATATTCCTTTCTGGGCAAGTATCTTCTCGTCAAAGTTCTCAGGAAGCAAACGGCTCTTGGTTCTTGAGAGCTATGGAGGAAGTGGTAGGGTAGGAGCTGGGCGTGTGTGTGTTGGTTTGGCCAACCCCAGCTGGACCCCAAGTTCCCCCATCCATCCAGGGATGACAGCACCCAACAGCAGGGCTCTTTGGCGGTCCGGCATCCAGCGACTGCCTCACCTGGGGCTCCTGCCACCTCACGTGTCCCAGCAGGCCCCCACCCTGCCAGGGTACCTACCAGCCTCGTTTTGATTGGAGGGTACATGCAAACTCCAGTGGTCTCTTCCTTCATGGGGAGAGAGAGTGGAGGAGAGCAGCGAGAGTGGGCACAGTGGGGACTGCTGGCGGGCTCTGCCTGCTCACGAGGGGAGGAAGGAAGACAGGGAGGAAGAGGTGGTAAGCCAGGAGGAGAGAGGAGAGAAGGGAGGGAGAGGGGAGAAAGACAGCACAGTGCAAGACGGATCTGGCAACCCAGACTGCTCTCAAGCCAGCATTACCCATGGCTGCTGTCTAGCTGCTGCTAGCCTCTGCAGGGCCACCTGCCAGACCCACCCATTGCCCTCCTCTCTGTCCCTCTGACCTCTCTTCTCCAATGCATGAGCAGAAGGACAAACCAAACCCCTTCCCAGGGTTGGCAGAGCTAAACTATCTCCCTGAGCCAGGAGCATAGGACTAGGAGCAGTCCCCACTCTGCCCCCACCCCCCGGCCCCCAAACCCAGAAGAGCATCACCAGGGTTCCGAAGCATTGCCCAGGCCAAGTCACGAACAGAGCCATGAGTTAGCAATGGCAGGCATGAGAGCAATACGCAGGCTGGCCATACACTTGAGAACATTTGCCTTCTACGCCCAGGGCCTTCCCACCCTCAGCCAAGGAAGGGTATTGCCTAAGGGGTGCAAGTGGGAGAGGGTCCGGTCAAGGATGCCAAGAAAGAGTTACACGCCTAAGAAGCAGAGTTCAGGATCTCATACTTCTGGCTCTCTGCCATCCGGGTTCAGAACTCAGACAGAGCCTCCCACTTTTCTCACCCATGAGTCCAGGTTTAGGGATCCCCTACTGGAAGTGGGGGTGCCCTGTTACTCAGCTGGAAGACATACCAAGCATTGTGGAGCAAGTGCCACACTTTGGGGATGCGGGGAGGGATCTGAGGAGTGCCACATGCCCAGCAAAGGTACAAAGCTTGTTGGAGTGAGGATGAGGATGGAGACAGAAGATGTTCAGGGTTAGGAAGCTAGGACTGCCGGAGGGTTAGTGTGGGCTTCAGGGAGGGACCACTCACTCCAGAGAACAAACACATGCATCGTTTAGCTCAGGAAACTTGGCAGCATCCCACAGTGAGGATTAAAATACAGCCTCTGGGTAGCTCTCACTGAAAAGAATGATCAAGGAAATTACAGGCCGCCTTCCTTCTCTAAATCCTTCTGATTCTGTCCTCTGATAACCACAGAGCTGAGCAGCTGCCAGGGGCTTTCACAGCCATAACCTCCTCAACAGTCTGGCTCCGCATTCACACTTGGGAGCTGCAGAAACTGTTTCTGCAAAGTTGGAACCCCAGGTTGTCACCCCCTCTTTGTTGATTGTTTCTAAGTCTTTTCTTCAGAGCTAAGTGAATCCATATTAGCCACCTGCGGGTCGAGTTTACCAGCCTACTTAAAAATCCTCTTCCTGTTCTCTTTGGTCCCCAAGAGAGATCCTACTTGCTTAAGAAGTCCCAAGAGAATGCCTGTAGGAGGCCGGCTGGCATCATGACCCCAGGGTGCCCGTGCTCCAGCTAGAACCAGCCACACCTGGGGACCCTCCACACATACCTCCTCATGTAAGCCCTTGGGCCCTTGCTCCTGCTGACAGTGGCAGGAAGTTAGCACAGGTTTAGTGAAAGAAATAAAACCTGTCACAGATAACCAAGAAACATCACAACACCTAACTGTCAGGATTTGGACTGATGATGATTGGGAGTGACTCAAGACTTTGTCCAGCGCTGGACTTTTATGGTAAATGCTGATCATTGCTCCAATACTTCTGACCTTCCTAAATAGTCGCCTGGGTAGGTGTAAGCAAATGAACGTTCCTGGACTTCTAGTAAATCCACAACCTTGATTCTTAGTCAATGGGCAGGAATCAATAACAGGGTACTTTGTCTATGCCAATGTGCTTTTTCTCCTGCCTCTTCCCTTCTTGCTTGGGGGCATTTCTGCATCTATTACACCATATTTTGGAACAGATAATTAGCTTTTGAGTTTGAAAATGTGACTCTCTGGGAGCATGGAAAGATTCTTGGCATCGATAAGTAATTGTGGAGTTGTGGGGGTTTCTTTTTCCCAGGCTCGGAAAAGGACATTGCTGGTCTGAGTAGAAAAGAAAGTCAGGCAGATAGAGAAGGGAAGACAGTCTAGAATACCAAGTGATGAGGCCCCAGTGAGCTATCGCCCTCTCTACAGGCCTAAACTGGGAACACAGACTAAAGGGTAAAGAAGACCAGAGTCCCTGGTCAAGTAGAGCTAGGGAGGCTGTAGGTCCCAGGATAGACTGATGGCCGGTAAGTAAAAACAGTGATCCCCCAGAAGCCCCATTAGAGATGCAGAGGGTATCTTAGATGCATCTATGAATACACACAGTGAACTGACCAGTCTTCTTTACACCCCTCCTGAACCCTGGGGAGCAAAGAACCATGGACACCTTGACTTGAGATTGAGGGTCAGCCCGCTTAGAAGAATGGAGTTCAAAACAAATACTAAGTTGTTGAGCTAACTGGAAACCCAGTCCTGACACCCCACCAAGGCCTGAGCCCATGTCCCATGTGGCCTTCCTCAGAGCAGACCAATGTCTCCCAGTCATGTACACACTTCACTGGCATGCCATGTTCCAGGACGCAGTGCCTCCGCTTTGTGGCCTTGTGGCTGAGGAGTTTATAAGACACACAGCTTAGAGCGGGGCAAGCCCCCCCCCCCCAGGAAAGATTCAAGAACAGAAAGTGGACAGATGTTTATGATCTGTGACCAGCAGGAGGTAGTCTGACTGGCTGACCCAATATGAGGCAGGGCTCGGCAGGGCTCTGCGTGCCTAGAGTTTTCTCTCTCTGTTTTTCGAGACGGGGTTTCTTTGTGTAGTTTTGGAGCCTGTCCTAGAACTCACTCTGTAGACCAGGCTGACCTTGAACTCACATAAACCCACCTGCCTCAGCCTCCTGAATGCTGGTATTAAAGGCGTGCGCTATCACCACCCAGCAAGTTCTTTTTTCTTCCTTCCTTCCTTCCTTCCTTCCTTCCTTCCTTCCTTCCTTCCTTCCTTCCTTCCTTCCTTCCCTTGAACCTGGATACTTTGAAACACTCCACAGATACTGGGCCAAGATGGAGAGCCCTAACACGGCATTAGTTCTCATAGAATTTTGGTGGAACATTACTAAATGAATGCCAGAACATCTGGTCCTTTTCTTCCCTCTCCATTTCCTTTCTAGTGCTGGCCTGGGGATTCTGGGGTATTGTAGGCATCTCAGCCAGGAGGAGAGAGGAGACTGGAAAGGGGGTTTGAGCTTGGAAGATGGCTATGGGAGTTCACTTGCTGTGTGATGAGGGGACTGGACAGAGGCTTTGAGCTTCAAGGTGACTGACTACAGGAGAGAGGTCACCTGCTGTGTGACGAGTGTCAGCGTAGAATTCTAGCATTCTTGTCTGGTAAAGTGCAACCTTCCTCTTCTGAAGGGAAGATCCAGAGGGAGGGAGTGGCCGGGGCCAAGGGTACAGATCTGGCAACCAATAAACCTTTCCTCGTCCAGGCCGAGTCTCTCAGACGGCAAACACGACCTCCTCCATTTTCATGTCTCACAAGGTAACTGCGGGGACCCAACAGAGCTGAGGCTTTGAGACCATCCCAGAGCTTCCTCCAAGCCTAGGCTCTGGAGCTGAAGTTGAGGCCAGCAGACCTGGCAAGCTTCAAGGAAGAGGGACTGGTAGGGGGGGCAAAGAGACATGTCCTGACTCAGTCACCCGCCACGAGGCCTGGGTTCTAATTTCAGGCCTGATGCTGATTTGCTGTGTGAGTTTGAACAAGTACATATCCCTGTCTGAGCCTTGGTTCCTATGTCTGTAGGGGAAAATTAGGATGGAGTGGCCCCGAAGCCCACTGCCACTGACAGGATGGACAGAAGCCAGAAAAGGAGCCGTGCTTCCATGGTTGTTCCCCAACCTCAATTCTAGGACACAGATGTGGACACAATTACCGACACAGTGGTCCCTGGGAGCAGCTTTCCCAGTCCCAAGTGCTGACTCCACTGAGCTGTCCACCGGTAAAGAGAGACAGATGCTTCTCTACAGGAAGGGACATGAAAGGGGGCCAGGCAAAGGGAAAAGCGGACTGCCAAGTGTCCCTTCCCCCTCTTTCATTCCTTGGCACTCACAGAAACAGGATTCACCCGGAGCAAGAGAAGGTCAGTGCCTCTGGTGCCAAGGAGTGCGCCACTGTCCTCTACAGAACCCGTGGATGCATGCTTACACCTCAAGGCATCTGAGTCACTGTGAACCTCACTGGGCAGCCGTCTCACAGCAGCCCGAGGACCTCAGCCACATATACAGTATAGCATCCCAGACCCCATTTGACAGCTAAGTCAGAGTAGACAAGAGATGCAGAGAGGCATCCCAAAGGGAGTAGGTGACAGTCCCTGAAGGAGGACAGTCCCTCTACACACCATGGGCTATTTCCTGTCTAATCTCAGTCTGCAATATCCAAGCCAGATCTTTTGAGTCTACAAGTAATTAAATCTATATAACCGAACATAAATTTTCAAGAGGAATCCTATTACCCTCATAAAAAGTCATGATGCATTTTAACCATGGTTTTCTTTTTCTTTTCCTTTTCCTTTTTTTTTTCCCCCTGAGTCAAGCTTTCTCTGTGGGATGATCCTAGCTGGCTTGAAACTTGCTTTGAAGAACTGGTCTTGAACTCACTGAGATCTGCCTGCCTCTACCTCCTCAGTGCTAGTATTAAAGGCGTGTGCCTCCACAGCCCGACGTAACCATAGCTCTTAACTATGGTCAACAAACTGACCAGGGTTCTTAGATCCACCAGGCCCTCTAGTAAATTAATGCTTTATTCATGCTGGCTTTTTAAAAAGTCAGGGTCTCACACAATAACCCAAGCCAACCTGAAATTCACGGCGATCTTCCTTCCTCAGCCTCCCAAGGGCTGGGATTGCAGGTGTGTGCTATTATGCCTGGGTGAGACTATTTTAATTGTCAACCAAACGCCTCCTCTTTGTTCTGTAAAACCCAGTGGCCCCAGGCAGGGAATAGCAGCTTACACAGGCACATATGGTGTCTACTGCGGCAGAACTGAACAGTTTGGAAGTTGCCCATGAGTCCAACTCAGAGGGACCACTTTCCCCAGCTCCTAAATCCCGCTGCATGTAGCTCCTTGCTGCACGTGGTCCTCAGAACTTAGCTATCTCCTCCATTCTCCCTCCTAGGTTCTCACCCAAAGAGTTTCTAGATCTTTCCGGCTAGTTGCCCTCCAGCTGAACTGGATGTTCTCAGGTAGCTGCCAGGCATTCCCATGAGGCCCTCCTGGACAAGAGGCTTCAGCTGGGAAGTATTTGGCAGCTCCTGACTTTCCTCCATGCCCCCTCTTCTCCTCCCCTTCCTGGAAATCACTTCTTTGCAAGGTGGCAAATTCCCCAAAGAGAAGGTCAATCCAATGCAGAGAGCATAGGAGGAGGGGCCAGATCCCAAGGTTCCAGATCCCATGTGGTCCTGTGGGATTTGCATATTACAGGACTCAGTTTCTGCATCTGTGCAAAAGGCTGATGAGGTCATCTGCTGTGGTTACTCTGTTGGGAAGGCAGGGGGAAAGGGTACTTTGGTCTTGGTAACTCATCTAACAAGAAGACCATGAGTCACCATGACATACGCTCAATTGTGATGGTCCCCAGAGCAGGGTCTTCCTTGGCAGCTCTCAGCTGCTCTTAGACTGGTCCAACTTGCTAGGCAAAAAAGATGGCTGTAGAAGTGACAAGCACTGTGTCTACCCAGACTCTCCTGGAAGTCTTCTGAAGAGTCCTTTCTCTGCAAGTTGATGCCCAAGGACTCTCCATTCTGGCCGCTCCCTAGGCATCTTCTATACAGCTCTTGCACGGCGCTTGGCCATTTATCAACCTGGCCACCCTCTATTTATCAAGCTGCCCTCTAACCTGGAGCTATCCCATAACAAAGTCCAAAGCTCTCAGGAGATAGGTACTTACTTAGTTCCTATTTTACTTCATAGCCCAAATGGTGACTTATGACCAGCCCAAAGTGGACCATGATTTATGCTCAACTTTATTGAGATATCAAACTGAGCCTAGCCAAAAGTTATTTCCAAGTTTGCCTGTATTATCTAATAATACTTTACAAATATTTGTGTTGCCCTCTAGTCTCAAGTCTCTCTCTCTCTCTCTCTCTCTCTCTCTCTCTCTCTCTCTCTCTCTCTCTGTGTGTGTTTCCCTCCCTCCTTTACTCTTCCTTTTCTAAGGACTTCTGTGACAAACAATGACACCCTGTTATCCCTGGTTTAGGGAAGACACAATACTATTAATGACAAGATTCTTAAACGGGAAGCAGAGAGCTGAAGATGCAGCTCAGCTGGCAGATGCTTGCTGGGTGCTCAGGAAATTCTGGGTTCAATTCTCAGAACTGCAAAAACAAGGCATGGTCACATACGTATATATACAGCTGATATGGTGGGTTGAAAAAAATGGCCCCAGAAGGGACTGGCATTATTAGGAAGTGTGACTTTGTTGGAATAGATGTGGTCTTGTTGGAACTATGCCACTGGGGAGGCAGGCTTTGAGGACTCATTTATGCTCAAGTGACACCCAGTGTCTCAAACCACTTCCTATTGCCTATGAGTCAAGATGTAAGACTCTCAGCTCCTTCTCTAGCACGTCTGCCTGCCTGCTGCCTTGCTACCAGCCATGATGAGAATGGATTAAACCTCTGAACTGTAAGTGAGCCACCCCAATTAAATGTTTTCCTTGCTAAGAGTTGTCGTGGTCATGGTGTCTCTTCACAACGATATGAACCCTAACTAAGATAGCTGGTATCCCAGAACTCAGAAACTAGAGGGAGGAGGATTAGAGGAGGGTCAAGGGTATCTCTGGCTACACAGCAAGTTCAAAGTCAGCCTGGGCTACATGAGACCTTGTCTCAAACAAAACGAAATACAAAATGGTTGTGTGTGGGGGGGTGAAGATTGGCCAGATACTAAAGTAAGAACTTGCCTCCCTGACTCCTTTGGTGCTCTGTCCTCTAAAAAGGGCTTCTCACCTGCAGAAATCCCACGAGGGCCACTATCCCTAACGGAAGACCTGTATATGGGAAAGATGATGATAAGGCATAAAGGGTCTGGAAAGCCAGCGAAGAGCCTTGAGCCAGTGTTTCAGACCAGATGGATTGCCAAAAGCAACAGCACGAGATGGGCGGGCATGCAGGGCACAGCCTGGGAAGCCAGGAAGCTGAGACCCAAGCATGGCAGAGCCCTGTTACACTTGAGGAGCAGCGGGCAGGCACAGGCAGGACCCCTGCGGCCATCCCTTGAGGAGAAGGAGCACCCCTTCATCAAAGGCCCCCAAAGTTAATGGGGCTCCTGGTGTCTGACCCTTTGTGAGAGCTTCCAGGATAAAGGAAAGCCCTCCAGCGGCAGTAAGAGTCCACCTCTCCGTTCTCCCACTGCCAGACACCTACGGGCTGTGGTTTTTCCAATTTTAGAAAAATAAGAAGTTTACCAGAGGAGTGGCTTCTGTGAAATCCATCAGCAGGTCACCTGGCCCCAAGGTAAAGGTGCCTCCGTGGTCAGAGGGACTCTGTGAAGGCAGAAACATCCCCAGTTAGCGATGCCAGAGCAGGCAACAGGGCTCACAAAAAGGGAAGTGGCTACAATTTTCTACCAATGAGATGCTCAGGGTGCAACTTCTATCCCTCGGCAGTGTACAAAATAGCCAGACTGAACCCCAAATTTTAATCTGCAAAAGCTGCAAACTACTTTCTTTAAGTGCTTTGAGTCTTTTTTTAAATTGGTTTTTGGGGAAATGCTTTACAGAGTCCGTAGAATACATAACTAGAACAAAGAAGCCATCCTTCACAGAGAGTCAGGCGACCTGAAGGAGCTAAATTGACTAGCGGCATAATAATAGGATGGATGCCTGAGGAGGTCGCTAGAACCTCTGAAGACTGTTCAAGGGAATGTTTTGTCCTGCCTTGGGGTCTTAGCTGCCCAGGTAAATTCTAGGCTCATTGAGGAAGTGCAAAACACAACTCACAGTTCATCAATTTGACGTAGGGCCCTAAACTAGAGAGAGGCCAGGAGAGGGAGCCCTGGAGCTTTTGAGAGGATATGGTTGCTCCCCATTGCACACTCTCCTCTGTAATACTGCAGCCTGGTCTTCAACCAGCTGTGGGATACGGGGAAGAAACCTGTCTCCCATTTGACACACTGTAAGAAGAGTCCCAATGCCAGGCAGTGAAATAGGTATGGCTCACATCTCTAATCCTAGCACTTGGGAGGCTAGGGCAGAAGATTTTCCGTGGGTTCAAGGCCCATCCTGAGCTACAGAGTAAGTACTAGGCTAGCCAGTTATGTAGCAAAACTCTACCTCAACAAAACAAAACTCAAAAAAGATTCCAGGATTCATTGTATAGAATGCCAGAGAGCCTTGGTCTGCATCGGTCAACTCTGAGGGGTCCCGTCATATTTTAGACATATATGGAAATGGCCTTGGGAAAGATGGACCTCGTTCATACAGTATATAGGCCTGGAACGTTGCTGTTTACAGACTGGGAGCTGCACAAGCCTCAGGGATCCAATGGCCATCACGAGGCCCAGCGAGGTTTCCGTGCCAATCTGAGCGTTGCTGCCGACTTTCTCATCTTCAGGAGGAGGAGAAGCTAAGGCTCATAGGAAATGGGCTTTCAAAGAGACTGCCCTTTGGGAGCTCTCGCTGGTGTGTGAATCGGGGAGCCTGAATCCCCTGGAGCTCCCATCTTGCTGCCAGGGCACCTGCTCCCTGTACACATCTTTCCTCAGGAAGTCGCATGGACCACAGCCATCTTCGACTCAGCATGTACTTGGACAGGAACAGATTCAGTTGTATTTGGACCAATCCCCAAAGAGTGACCGATGACAGAGTCACACGGAAGCAGAAGAATGCTTCATGAAAGGCCTCTGCCACCAGCATTCACGTTTGCATTTTCATGAAACTGCAAACTGACAGACTGGTATTTCTCATTTCCAAACTATTAACACACTGTATCCAATATAAGGTATGGGATGCAAACATGTCTATATTTTTATTTCTCCAAATCGTCCATCATAGAGTGGTGTTGGGGGCACTGCTCTTCCCTTGACTTTTATTATATTTTTTTAAGATTTATTTATTTATTTATGCACACAATGTTCCTCCTGCATGTATACCTGCAGGCCAGAAGAGGGCACCAGATCTCATTGCAGATGGTTGTGAGCCACCATGTGGTGGCTGGGACTTGAACTCAGAATCTCTGGAAGAGCAGCCAGTGCTCTTAACCTCTGAGCCATCTCTCCAGCCCCCGACTTTTATTATATTTTAAGATGCTTTAAAACATATTTTATCATTTGAAGTTACATTTATTTGTTGTATGTGTGCGCACATGCATACACACACACACATGCGTGTGCACACATATGCCATAGTGCAGATATGTAGGCAAGAGAACAACTCTGGGGAGTCAGCCCTCTCCTTACCCCATTTAGGTCTTGGGGATCAAATTCAGGTCGCCAGACTTGGAGTCAAGCACCTTTAGTTACTAAGCTATCCTACCAGTTTTTCAGATGGAATTTTATTTGTCTGTTGTTTGTTTGTTTTCAGGACAGGATGTCACTACATAGCCGTGGAAGGCTGTCCTGGAACTCACTAAGGAGACCAGGCTGGCCTTAAACTCATAGAGATCCACCTGCTTCTGCTTTCCAAATGCTGAGACTAAAGACGTAGGCCGCCATACCTGCCTTTAAAGCCACACAACGCCACACAGAGATATAAAACATTACCCACAAGAATCTCTTAAATGTACCCTAAGGCACAGTGCATGCTTTTAGTTTTATATCATAAAATGTCTCTCATAAATAGTTGTCATATATTTTGCTCTTTTTTAAATTAATTTGTTTGTTTGTTTGTTTAAGACAGGGTTTCTTTGTATAACAGCTGACTGCCCTGGAACTCGCTTTATAGACCAGGCTTTATAGACTCACAGAGATCCGCCTGCCTCTGCCTCCCCCAGTGCTGGGATTAAAGGCGTGCGGCATCACTGCCCAGCCGCTCCTTTTAGTTTTAATTATCAACTCTTTTGCCTTGGAACCAACCTTACTCTCATTTTAAACCGGCTTTGCTTTTTTAAAGATAGGTCTCTCATTAACCTCAAACTCACTGTATAGTGGAGGAGCTCCAGAACTTCTGATTCTGCCTTCACCCCGAGTCAGGATTATGGCTATGTGCCACTGTGCCTGGTCTGCCTGTGCTGGGGATCAAATACATGGCTTTAACTCTACCAGCCAAGCTAAACCATCAGCCTGGTTTTACTGCTTGTGAATGCGTGTATGCATGCATCTTTTATGCAAAACTCAAATACTCAAGCATTTGCCATTCACTAAGTGTGTATTATGCCTCAGGCTCTTTCCCATACCTTGGCCCCTGGAGACAGTGGGCTCTTGACTTCTGACTTCTGAGGCGAGCTGACTTTCTGGATTTTGGGGGACGCCAGTGGCACTGAGACTTGAGTGGCAGACATCGTGGTGTTTGTGGTTGTGGCTGTGGTGGCTCCCACTGCCTCAGCCAGGTCTGGAGGGAGGTCATCTTCATCACTGCGGTTACTAAAAGCACATATAGCTCTGCTCATTACAATAATACACAGGCTGTGAGAGGGCCGGGGAAGGGAGGGAGGGGAGGCCAAGGCAGGAGGCCGCGGCTCTCCAAATCGACGCTCACTCAATTGCAAGCTTACAAGACAAGATACAAGGCCAAAAGCCAGTGTGTGTCATCGTGACAAACCACACATAACATGATATTTATGATTTGAGCCACTTCTAAACAAACAATTCCACGACATGACATGCAATCCCAGTTGCGAGGCCACCCCACTATATATTCCCCAACCCTGTCCCTGTCTCTGTGAGGTTGCCTATCCCCGAAGCTTCATGGAAGCATGTGATGCTTTCAAAGTCCAGCAACACTGTGGTATATGTCAAAATGTCTTGGCCTTTTATGTTGAGAAATGTTCCATTGCATGGCCATACCATAATTTCTTAGTTGTGTGTTTATGAACCATCTCATCTCATGAACCATCTCTCTAACCCTTATTTTAATTTTTAAAGATTTTTTATTAGTTATTATTTTTATTCAGCTGTATGTGTGTGGATATATGCATGTGCCAATGGAGGCCGGAAGTACCAGATCCCTCCCCATAGCTGCAGCCACAGGCCATCATGAGCTACATGACATGGACGCTGGTACCCAGACCTCTGCAGTACAGCATGTACTGGAGCTGTCAGCCTTGCCAGGTTTTTACCTTGTTTTTTAAAACGTTAGTCATACAATGAGTGACACAGTAGAGGGGGGGGGGGTGAATTTTTTTTTTTTTACCTTACATAAAAGTGCTCTAACCCTAAAAACAGAATCACTATTTGTTTTTACATAAAAAGCCATTTTTAAAAACCTAGCTCATTTCTTACAGTAGGAAGTCAACCCACAGTGCCTAAATTAGGAAAAACTCCAAATCTTTCTTTCTAAAAAGAAAATTTTTTAAAAAATGTTTTATTTCTCTCTGTATGTATATGTACCATGTGTGTGCAGCTACCCTCAGTGACCAGCAGAGGGCATCAGATCCCCTGGAGCTGGAATGACAGGCAGTTGTGAGTCACCTCATTGGGGGTCCGAAGGTAGCAAGTGCTTTCAACCACTGAACCATCTCTCCAGCCCCCTCTTAAATAAAAAAAAAAAAAATCTTTTTTTTTTTTGCCTTAGGATTTATAGCATATTAAGAACTTACAGCACATAAAGAAACATTTAAAATCCAGTAAGCCTCCAACTTTACTTCAGTTTCTGAGGTAATTCATGATAAATTCATAAAACTTGGTTGCTGCTTTACCAATGCAGCCCAGGCTAGCTCAAACTCCTGGACTTCCCACTGCTGCCTCCCTGGTACTGAGATTACAGTCATGTGCCGCCATACCTGGCCTTCAAACACTGTAACAGGTTTCCATGGAGAAGATCTTTGCCTTGGAATTCTTTTTTTTTTTTTTTTTCCTGAATGCAGAAGTGCAAAGGGGAAAGGAATTTTTTTTTTTTAACAATGGCCAATTTGGTGATTAGGTGAAATTTTCTATCTTTCCAGGCCACCTATAGTCAGTCATTATTTAATATGATTACCTATCCCATATGGGTGGTAATAACATTCTGAATTCTAAAAGGTAAAAGGAAAGGCAAACCCTGCCAGCCTTGTCCTGGGGGAAGATGTTTGTGGTTTAATATGTTCCCCAGAGATCCTCAGAGGTGTAATTATCTGAGTTCCAGCCACTCTGGCTCTTCTAGAAACACTGTTGCTATATGTCCCCAGCTTTTCATCAGGGCTGGGGAGGGGGCACGTGGCTGCACTTAAGTCCCCTTGAGCTGCCTCTTTACCTTCCCACAAGGAGCTAATGGCACATTTCTGCTTGAACATGCCTCTTTACCTTCCCATGGACAGCTAATGGCACATCTCTGCTGGCTGTTTGGGGATGGCCTCTGGCCCTGTACCCCCACTTCCCTCTGCATCCTGGATCCCTACAGTCTTTGGCCAGACCCCTCACAAAATCCCTTGGATGGGTATGAGCTCACTTTACAGATAAAGGGAAAGCACTGGAAGCCAGACTGGTGTCACAGACCTGTAATCCCAGCTACTCAGGGGGCTGAGACAGGAAGGTCAGAAGTTCAAAGTCTACCTGGGCAATGCAGGGAGGCCTGCCTCAAAACAAAACGGGAAAAATGGACTAGAGGTGTAGCCCTATGGTAAGCACCCGCTTTGCACTGGCGAGGTTTCCAATACTGCGAAAGAAATGAAGAACAGAAGAGGTGAAAACGGGACTGAAGACACAGCTCGGCGTTAAAGCATTTGCAATCCAAGCCTGAGGACCAGAGTCTTGATCCCACGTAAGTGTTTGGTGGGTCTTGTAGTCTCCGAAAGCATAGACAGGGGCCCCAGTGCATGCTGGTTAGCGACTAACCATATCAGTGAGCTTTGGGTTTGGCTTTGCCTGATATCAACCTTTGTCCTCTAAATGCACATACAGGTGCACACGCCCACATGTGAGCCCCCACACATGCAAACATGCAAACACAGACATACACACAAATGGAAGGAAACTGGGTAGGTCCTGACATCATTTGTGGCCCCTTGCTTCTCTCTGGTTCTGCTAAGCATTTTACTATCGAGCCAGGGGATACGGAAGCAGCTTCTCTTATGGCCTCAGGTGGTTCCTATCTTAGTAGTCATTCACCCATGCCATCCTCCTCCACAGTGTGAGCTGGGCCTAACAAGGTGTCTCCAATAAACAGAACATGGCAAAAACAACAGGGTGTCTTGGCTGTGATGAGGCTATGCAAGACTAACCTTCCTCTCGCTGGCATTCTCTCTCATGTTCTGACAGAGAAACCTTTCAAGACTGTAAGCTCAGGGTAACCTGGGTCCGACAGCCTCCTTGGCTATGGATTCTGATAGCAAGCACATAAGGAATCCTCAGAGGTGACCAAGACCCCAGGGGACAAGCTGTAGCCTTGTGGGAGACCCCAACAGAGAAGCCCAGAGAGGCTCTGCCAGACTCCCAGTCCTCTAACTGGGAGGAGGCAAGCACAGAATGCTGGGAATAGTTTACTATACCACAGTCAATGAGAACAAGGGTGACCACTGTGTGATGTTTTTATGAAGAAAAACTCTGGTTCTAATACAACCTAAATGGGACTTAAACAAAGTCTGAAGGATGGCCATCTGAGAGGGTGCCTGGGGCAGGGATATCACTAAATGTTCATGTATAATGGGGGGGCGGGAGGTAGACAAGTGTAGAACTCACAAACTGTATTGTCTTGTTAACTTCCTCACTCGGGGAGGCTTGATTTCTGGCTTCTCCACAGCTGGCTGAGCTGTTTCCACACGTATAGGAATGGGGCTTCTGGAGACAAAGCAAAGCAAAACAAAACAAAACAACAACAACAAGTTAATGCCCTTGTATTATTCTTCAGAACTGCTTCTCACTTAATAGGCAGCTTATTGGTTCTGATGGTTCAGAAACCCAATTGCTCTTGACTTTCTGTTCTACTTAATAATTGACATTATACTACAAATGCAGAAAAGCCCAAAATCAAATAGACAAGCAAAAATTATAGAGATGAGACCATAGCAAGTGGGGAATTACATATAACTGGGTGACATATCAAATAAAACTGCCTTGCCTCCAAAGCCCCAACCTCAGTATGAGGGCTTGGTTCATAGCCAGGTCTTGCTGTGAAATGAATGAAGAAAAAAACCGGAGCTAACACAGCTTTAGCTCCCAAGATCTGGTAGCCATGATACAAGGGCTGTAACTATAGTACATAATAAAGTTATGGCTAACGGTAAATACTATATCCAAAACATTTTAAGTGAGAGGATTAAACTGAATTTGTAAGACTTGACAATGGGGCCTTTTAATCAATTTCAGTCATCTTCCTAGCCCCAAAGTGGCGATTTTAAGGAAAATCTTTAATATATTCTTATGGTCATAACTAATTTCATATTTTTTAAAAAACAGCAATCACCTCCTAACACCAAAGAGTCATCGAAACAAGGTGAGGCCCAAAGCAAGGGACCCTGGCAGATCAATGGACACTTCCGCACGTCTGTTTTCTCTTCTACTTACTGTCTGCTTATGTGGTATGTTTGTAGTAAAAGCGACTAGCAAACGCTTGTTGGGTAAACATAGGAAAGAATGAATAAGGAATTTGAGTCCATGTGCTGAATTCATGGTTCCCTAGACCAGAACTGCAGGGTGACCATACGCGGTCCCTAAAACGACCACACCTCCTAGGGTTCTCAGCCTGATGCAGGGAAGATCATAGATGTAAGAGACAGAGTGGAAGCCTGGCTGAATGCAGGGTACCATCCCCACCACCATGACATGGAAGAGGTCCCAGCAGCAGGCCAAGGGGTAGGGACCAGAAGGAAAGCAGGGAGAGACCTGTCAGGAGGAAATTCAGGCTGAGTTTACTCCAAAGGCAATGGCAGTAACTAAAGGTTTTAGTCCGAGGAGTGGCATTATCAAGTTAGCATTGTAAAAACGTCCTCAGAGCCAAGAACGTACTTGGGGGAGAGCCAGGATACTAATGATCTACAATAAGAGACAGTGAGCAGAAGCCACTGGGAAGGGTCCTCTTTCCCGTGTTACCGAGGACGACTCCCTTCTAAGCCAGAGCTTTTCAGCACCTTTGCTGGAGGTCAGCTCTGCAAGCTCCAGAAACCACTCAAGGAGGCTGAGCTGTTTGCTAGCACGGCAGGCTGCAGTGTTCATCTGGGACTAAGTCACATTCCCCAGTTTAAAGGAAGGCTTTAAACTGGTTTCTTCGGGCCCCTATTCTCTCTGCTTTGCTTCGGAACTCTCTGCTCTCGCTACCCAGTTTCCCCAGGAGCCATACTTCCAGCATAACAGGAGGACACAGCAGCATTCCCCATTCAAATAAGAAGCCACAGACCTTACGTTCGTGTCCTGAAGACTTGATTTCTTATTGATATTTACAAAGGTGGGCTCCTCTTTTCCAATCTGTGGAAGCAAACAAATCAGTCAAATGTAACGTAGCTCGGCGTGTTTAAAAATGCTTTCGGGTCCTCTGCATCCGAAGGGTTGGAGAGCTGGGAAGACCCACAGAGGTAATTCAAACTTACTCTCGTTAAATAATAAACAACGACAAAGACGCTTTCTCGAGTCATTCGTGCTGCGGACCGAGAAGCGGTCATTCAATGCAGCCAGTCCCGGCAGTCACACTTTCATTGAGCACTTCCTATGTGTCCGCTCCTTCCTGAATGAGAGGGGGGTGGTGTAGGAAAAGCAACCCCGCAGTTCAATCCCTAATGCCACTCTGTGTATCAAGAACAAGACTGGGCTACATTTACAGGTGCAGCTTTAAAAAGGATCTTGGAATCCTGTACATTCAAGGAACAAACCCGGAAGGGATGATGTCATTTGATTTTGATGCAAGTCTTATTTTCCTCCCTCTGGTGAGTCCCGAGAATGACAAGGGAGGAAGGGACACCCACACAGCCAGCTGAATAGTATGCACACCGGCAGTCCGTGGGGGAGATGGCCAGCCCACGGCCCGCATGCTCGCCCTCTGTACATCGGCAGTCTGTGGGAAGATGACCAGCCCACGGTCCTCGTGCTTGGCCTCTGTATACCAGCAGTCCGTGGGGAGATGACCAGCCCACGGCCTGCATACTCTGACTAGGTGTTCACCAAAGATGCCAAGGAGACTGACTTGGAGGGTACTGCCTTCTTCTTAACCTGCTGCAGCTGTCCACAGATGGATGCAGCCCCGCCTCCTGTCAGTCTTTTTCAGGGGCAGCATCCGTCAGCATCCGGCAGCAGGACTGGCTTCCTTTTCATATACCTGAGCTCTGCAATGACCCCACAGGGAACTGGTGCTCAACCCCTGGCAGGATGCTGGGCTGCATACCAACACCTTATGCCCCAAACTCTCAAACCACACCAACCCAGGGATTCCTACGGTAGGGTCTGGTGTTCCTGAGAACACTGTTTCTGTGGAGGTCGGTGGGAGCCATTTACAAAGTGGTCCACGGCATGAGGGTGACAGAAAATAAGGCAGATTTCTTCCCTGCAGGGCTTCTTGGAATCTCTAAGAGGCTCATATGTTGCTTTGAAGGGAGCGGTGGGGTGGCTGTACGTCATTCTAGCACTCTAAGCATCCGCCAGGGCCAGCACTCCGGGAATTACTGATCTCACACCTGCCTCTTTCCTCCGCTGCTTTAAGGCCCTTCCACTATCTCTCTGTTCTTCTTTTCTTTGAGTCTTCCCCATTCCTTCCTCACACTTTCCAAAGTGAAGTATTTTTGACACAAAGTACGTCTTCATGAGTGCAGAAACCTGGATCCCCCACAGAGAATTCCTGCAGCAGGAGAGCCCTGGGAGCATGGCAGAGCTTCCTAATATGCATTGTGCCAACTCCGTAAGCTATGAAAAATGTACCAGTTTCATTTGCTTGGGGAGAGTACAAAACGGCATACGTGGAAACAGCAATGGGCATACAATTAAGGCCACCAGTTGTGACTGGAACTTGAAATAGCTGAGTTTTAAAAAATGCTTTTATTACACTTACACATGCGTGTGTGCTCATGTGAGCACTTGCTCAGTACGCACATGGAAGCCGAAGGACAACCTGGCGGAGCTAATGCCCTTCTTCTACCATGTAGATACTAGCATCGTCCGGGGTTGGCACCATGTGGCTTTATCACTTGAGTCACCCCGACAGCCCTGAAACTGCCCAGCTGAAGGTGAGGAGTCAACCTGACTATCGTGGAAAAAGTGTCACCGCCATCACCTACACCCCTCAGTGTCCCCAGCAATTCACTCCCTAGCCTTAGTCTGTAATTGTTCTTATCTGTACCTCTACGAGATGACGGCAGGCATTGCATCAGAGCTACATGGTGTCCTTTAATCTTCACAGTTGCCTAGGGTGGTGGCTTTTTACCATGTTTTTGTTTGTTTTGTTTTGTTAACTTGTGAGTGTATGAAGGGTATTGGTGTGTGGTCTATGTGCATGAGTGTTTACAAGGGCACAGAGGCTAGAAAAGGGAGTTGTGTCCTCCTTAATCACTGTCCACCTCTGAGGGCCTCTTGCTGAACCTGGAGCTAGTAGCCTTACAGCCAGGCTGGCAGCAAGCAAGCCCCAGCAATCCTTCTGTCTCCACCCCAATAAGTGCTGGGGTTATAGGCGTAGATGGGATGACATAGGCATGTATATGCATGCTGGGATCCAAATCCCAGTCCTAAAGCTTGCAAAGAAAAATACTTTTAATTAATCTCTGAGCTGTCTCTTCAGCCCCAGGAGAAGAAATCATACTATGTTGTCCCAAGCTGGTCTCTAGCTCCTGGGCTTTTTGAGACCTCCCTGTCTCGGACTCCCAAGTGCCTGGGACTACAGACTGCAGGCATACATCACCACCAGACCCAGTTAGTCCCCAGTCTCTGTACCAAACAAATGAGGCTCAAAGAAGGCAGGAAACAAGTTTAAGGTAACATCACTAAGAACTAGATCAGGACTCAAACCAGAGCCAGCGGTTCTCAACCTGTGAGCCGTGGCCTGTTAGAAGTCGAAGGACCCGTTCACAGGGGTCACCTAAGACCATCAGAAAACACAGATTTTCTTGTGAGTCATAAGAGTAGAAAAATTACAGTTATGAAGTAGCAATGAAATAATTTTATCTTTGGTAGTCAGCACAGCCCAAGGAACTGTATTGAAGGGTCCCAGCATCAGGAAGGTTGAGAACCACTGAATCAGCCAACTGGCTTTCCAACACATAGTCTCTGCCATCCTGTCCGGTTTACATCACAGCCTCCACATGAAAGAAACCTTGTAGCTTGCTCTTCTTTCTCATGACATCTTCAGGGAGGATTTAAATCGTATAGACTGTTATTATGTGAAAAGAGAATGAAGACATTGCCCAGTACTTTTGACAGTGTAAGTACAGATAGTAGGTTCATATGACCTGTCTGTTTTTACATATTGTTCTCTTGAACAACTTTGTGTGTGTGAGCATGTGTGTGTGTGTGTGTGTGTGTGTGTGTGTGTGTGCATATGCAGGAACACGCTTGTCATGGCGCCCATGGAGAAGTCAGTGCACAAGTTTAAAGACTTGGCTCTCGTATGCAACCATATGGGTCCTGGGGATTGAACTCAGACCTTCAGGGGTGGTGACAAGCACCTTTAGCCGCTGAGCCATCCTCTCAGCCCAATCATAGCTTCTTATATTCTGGGCAGCCAATAGTTTCTCCTTGAACATCGGCTGTGACTGGTGCCACTGCCTTGGACCCCTCATTTAGGGCAGAAGGAGTGTTATTAGTGGTCACCGTGGGGCCAGTGATCTGTGCCATGGGTTTATGGCGGTTATTAGGCTATCCTCTCTCATCTCCAAGTTCACCCATCCATCTTGAACCTGGGCGGAGAACCAGCAAACGGAGTTTCCTTTGCCAACAGGGGGCGCCAGAGAGGAGGAATTCCCGGCTCCCCAGTTCTGAATTACCCCAACCTGGCTTCTTCAACTCTGGGGCCCACTCCTCCACAGGAACATCTAAGTCAGGTTACAGTATCGCAGCACCGGGAGATCTGGTGTCATCCTGTCCATCACAGACACAGAATCGGCGGAATACCACCCCCCACACACACACCCCAGCCCCCACCGCCTCAGAGTGTGCCACCAAGCCACACGTGCCTCATCAAGTTAGATACCAGAGCAGGCCACAGGGAGCTACCCTCAGGAGTCTACGTTTCACCTGTGTGGACTGCTTCCTCTCGGCACTCGAATGTCCTTATTTGTAGACTATTTGTTCCCCAAGCTGTTGGGATGGAAAGTGCTTCCTGGAGACGCCACCTCCAGGTCCTTGGAGTAGCGTGACTCAAAGTGCAGTTCAGGAAGCTGGTTAGACATGCAGATCACTAGCTCCCACACTGACTAACTGAACCCCCGGGGTAGGGGGGTGGGATGCAGTTCTGCTGAGGGCCCTCAAGCAACTAGCATGTGAGAGCCGCTGCCTCCCATTTCTCCGTCTTCCATTTGCTTGTACAAATAATAACCACACCGGTTAGGAATTCTTTGCACGAAAACCCAGGCTTCCTAGAGCCAGTGAGACAACTGAGCAGGAAAAAGTAACTGCTGCCAACTCTGACAACCGTTGTCAATTCTGTTCAATCCTTGGAACCCACGTGGTGGAAGGTGAGAGCCGACTCCAGCAAAGTGGTCCTCTGACCTCCACCAGAACTTCATAGCACGGGCCCCTGCATCCCTCCTCACAAAGGATATAAAATGTAATTAAAAAAAAATAATAAAATCCAGGCTCCCATCCCAAGAGGTGGTTCTTGTCTCCACACTGGCCCCTGACAGGCGCTGTGTCATTGTCCTCCAGGGTGGCATTGAGGAAATCCTGAAACGCGATATTGAAAGAGCATTCGCCCCACGTACCTGGGCACTCACACGAGAGGCGTTCTCCAGTTGGGCCTTCAGAATGTTACACTTCACGTGATCCGCCACCGGGGACGGCAGCAGCGGGGTCTGAAGGGTCTTCTCAGAAACTTTCTTTTCCTCAGCCTGAGACAAAGAAGAGGACCAATTGTGAAAAAATGGAAAGGAAAACTTCCCCCCAACAACCACAATGGCAAATAACACAGGGCTCTAAGCGTGGATGCATGTGTCCTGATAAGCTTCCTTTTATGCTATGGCTTTCCAACGCAGACTTTCTGCATGTCACCCCACTCTATCTAGTGAGGGATGGACTGGACATATCAGGTATCACATGAAGGTTCAAGATCAGGCAGCAAGAACCAGTGACAAGTCAAGGCCACAGCATCTCCTCCCTGGCCCAGCCCAGCCTAGAGCCATTTCCCTTCAAACTGCTACCTCTGAGATAGCAAAACACAAGTCAGTCATTTGCAGGATCAAGGAAAAGAGCACAAAATACTTGCTGGTCTTTGTTCAGTAAATCTTGTTAGATACCATGACTCTCAATAAGGAATTTGCATCTCTTAATTATCTTAATTTATATGTAGCAGGTGTGACCCAGGCTTCATGCTCCCTCCTCCTAGACCCTGCATCACACTTTTGGACTTCAGGAATTTGCTATTAATTTCACAATTTCTGCCATCTCCCAAGTGTTAAGTGAATATGTCCCTAAAGTTCATCTGACTCAATTAGGGAGGATTGCCTGGGACTATGCATTTATGCTTGAATCATGTTCAAAGAATAATACCTTGGAAATCAAGGCTTTATGACTATTGCTGTAGTAGACATGCAATTTACACAGTGCTTAAACTAAAATGTATTCATCCCTGCAGGTAGCCCTGAAATATCTTGGATGGTATCCGTGCCACTTTGGGAAATAATATCTGATTGCTCACCACACTGTAGCTCACGGTCATTACATGTCTCAGCACAATATGATGCTTGACCCAGACTCCGTGTCCAATAAACACCTTCTATAGACAATTATGGTGACACCCACTTATTATCAAAAGAGATATGTGCTTAATAAAAAATGACTCCTCACACCGACTCGGTTGTCTCAGGAGGTACTGTGGAGGTCAGTCACCACACACCAAGACAAAAAGGGAATGTCATAAAATCCTCTACTTCCTCAAGTCCTGAAATTGCTGTTCTCTAAATCAAAAGCCCCACTGCAGTTGAGCATGGTGGCATTGTCTACAACCCCAGCACTCAGGGGGTGGACACAGGAAGATGATGAGTTCAAGGTCACCTTGGGCCATACACTGAGACCCCGCCTCAGGAAAAAAAAAAGTTCCATTGATCATCTTGGTATCCATTGTAGGAATATAATGAAAGCCACAGAGGAAGCTTGGGAGCAAGTGGCTAGCTAATGTGTTTAATAAAGAAACAGAGCATGGAATGCAGGAGAAACAAAAAGAGCCTCCCAATAAACAAGAGGAGCACTTGGGAGAGATGAGACATCAGCAATGTCATTTAGCACCAAACAGACAGAGGCAGGCATTCTGAAATAAAATCTCAGGGGTGTGTCTGGAGGGTACCATCAAAAATAGATGACGATGGCCATGATGGTAATGACCAGGATGAAGATGGTGACAACCACAATGATGATGATGATGAAGACAATGACGGTGACAGTGATGATGATCACGATGACTACAATGATGATGATGGTGATGACAAAGGAAAATGCCAGTAGCTAATGTGTACTAAGATGTACCATGAGCCAGCCATCGGCCACGTATTTCATGGGTATGACTCACTGGAGTCTCACTGTCCATCCTATTTGGAGGTAGGTATCTTTTAAGTCTTTTTTGTAAAGCATTTATTCATTTAGTGTGTGGAGGTGAGGGGGAGTCAGAGACAACTTTGGAGAGTCAGGTCTCTCCTTCCACCATGTGGGACCCAGATACTGACTGTAGGCTTGGCGGCAATGTCTTTCCTGCTCAACCAACGTGCTAAGCCATTTTTGCTGGCTTCTGTTGCTGGTACCTTCACCATCTTCACTCTAGCAGAAAGCAGATGACTTTGGGCTGGTTATACAGTTTGGTAGGGTACCAGTGTTAAATTCCAAGCTCTCCTCCATCAAAGGGAAAGATTTACATGGTCAGAAGAGAACGCAGAACATTTCCCCCCAGTCCGTAGATGAGAAAAAACAAAGCAGGGCCATGGGAAGCCACTTGCTCAGGATCATATAGGGGGAAGCAGAAGGGCCAAGGGCCAGGAATGAAGATTCTGATGGAGTCCAAAGCCAGAACTCTCAACCACTCAGCCACATGAGCTCCCCTAACCTCTCTGCTGCTATCTCCCCCTTCGTAAGAACTTTAAGATGCTCAAATGAGAAAAAGGTATTAATGGCATTCTTATGCTAGACTATAGTTAAAAAAGAAAATACAGCCAGGTATGCCTGAGAACTGAAGACAGTAATGACACTAAACTGTCATGCAAGGCTTGGGAAAATGTCACATGACATGGGATTCATTATGGAGCGTCCTCCTTTAGGGAAATAAGTAATTTACATGTAACTTAATATCTTGAAGGTTTACAGCACGGGTTTAGGGTAATTTATTTTGTGTTTGTAAATCCAGTTGCATTAAGATTTTTATTTCATACTTGAATGGATTTTTTTTCATAAATACATTTGTAGTTGATTTTAATTTGGGGGTGGCATGTTGGCAAACAGGAATTTAATTAGTTAGGAGCCCATTGGAGGGTTGTGACAATGACTTACGGGGAAGTGGTTATTCTGACAGTAATGAAGACCTGCTTCAAATAATGGAATGCTGCTAAAATAAGAAAAGGATTCAGCATTGATTTTTTTCCCCTTAAATTCAGCCAGCCTAGGCTGCTGTTTGGGACACACAAGTCAAGGCAGCTCGCTTCTGTCCCGCAAAGCTGGAGGCATGACTGCCCAGTCATGTAGATCACCTCCGTTGAAGGCCAACAAGAAACTGCAAACTTTGTGCATCTTTGTGTGACCCATTTTGCTTCGAAGGCGTCTCTAGTGCTGGGTGGGATTGCTCACCTGTAAAGTGCTGGCCTCACACCCGAATTTGAATCCCCAACGGCAAGAGTCACGCAGAAAGCTGGGCAGGGTGGGACGTGCTGTTATCTCACTGATGATAAGACAGGAGGTTGAGACCAGCAGATTCCCTGGGAGCTCACAGGACCAGCTGGCCTGGCCTGTGTAGTGAAGTTTCAGGCCGCTGAGAGATCCTGTCTCCAGTACAGGTGGAAGCTGCCTGAGGACCAACACGCAGGCTATCCTCTGACCTCCACACACTCACTCTTCCACGCCCACCCATGCACCCCACTGCTGTGGGACAATGGACTATACCCTGTCAATTGTATTTTAATAAACGCTGATTGGCCAGTAGCCAGGCAGGAAGTAGAGGTGGGGTGACAAGCACAGGAGAATTCTGGGAAGAGGAAAGCTCATTTCCGCAATTGTGACCCAGCCACAGAAGAAGCAAGATGTGACTGCCTCGCCAAATCAGGTACAGAGCCAGGTGGCTAACAGAGACAAAAATAATGGGCTAATATAAGTTATAAGAGTTAATAAGAAGTCTGAGCTACTAGGCCTATCAGTTTATAACTAATGTAGACCTCTGTGTGAGTTCTTTGGGAACTTAATAACTGCGGGAACCAGGCAGGACAAGGACCGGGTGCGATAGAAAACCTCGGTCAACAGCTCACACTCTCATGATAGCATGAACATGCCTACACACACAACGTGATTCCACAGGGGATTACAAGACTGCAGTTCAAGCTCAGAGCATGGCCCCGGCACTTCTGTGTTGTCTGGCTTTTGCTGTTTGTTTTTTGAGTCCCCATATTTTATGTTCAGTTTTGAACTGTAGAAAAAGACTATATAATCCAAGATGGCATTAAAGATTTCAAAACATACAAATAAATGACAACAGGGTATTGGTGTCATAGCTGGGAACAGGCCATCTGTTCAGGGGTGTCAATGGGGATAAGGAAACAATTAAATGTGTATTTAAACTGTTGATAATTAACACATGGGAAATCTGACGAGATTGAAATTCCTGCTGTCATTTGGGGTAGCACTTGGAAATGGGTAGGGAAAAATCATTAAATTAAGAATAGGAAGTTCCTAGGGACTGGAGAGATGGCTCAGTGGTTAAGAGCACTGATTGCTCTTCCAGAGGACCCGGGTTCAATTCCCTACCCACATGGTGGCTCACAACTGTCTGTAACTCCAGTTCCAAGACACCCAACAGCCTTACATAGGCATACACATAGGTAAAACACCAATTCCATAAAAATAAAAAAAATATTTTTTTTAAATTGTTAAAAAAAGACAAAGAATAGGAAATTATAAAAACCATAGAAGAATCAGAGGAGATTCCATCCTTAAGGTGGGAAAAAAAATCATTCAAGCCAGTGGATCCCATTTGAAGTGTCATGCTTACCAGAGAGGTCTATTGCAAGAAATAGCTTTCTCCTAAAATACAATATTTTAGTGCATTTGCTTATTTATACGTGTGTGTGTGTGTGTGTGTGTGTGTGTGTGTGTGAGCAGCTGTGTGTGTAGAGAGGTCAGAGGACAACTTGTGGGGGTCAGTTCTCTCCTTTCACTATGTACAGGGCTAGAACCCAAGCCACAGGCCTGGGTGCAAGGGCTTTTACCCACTAAGACAGCTCACTGGCCCACAAAATGCTTCCTTAAAGATAAAGTATCATGTAGGGGGTTGGAGCTGGGGCTCACTTGGTAGATGTTTCTCCAATGTGCACAAACCCTTGGGTTCTATTCCCAACACCACATAAACTGGACATGGTGATGCATGCCTGCAAATCCAGCAATGGGGAAGGATAGGTAGAAGGATCAGAGTTCAAGACCATCCTAGAGTACATAGCAAGTTCAAGGCCAATGCCCTGGTAACATGACACACTGTCTCAAGAATGCCAGTTGCGGTGGGTTGTTACCCACTGGAGGGGAAGAGTCAAGAGGATCCCTGGGGTTTGCCTGTCTAGTTTAATAGGCAAGCATCAGGCCAGTGAGACACCCTACCTCAACATGAGCTGATAGGCTCTGATTGCCACCACCCAAGGTTGGTCTCTAGCCTAAACACACGCACACACACACACACACACACACACACACACACACACGCGAACTTCTCTGAAAGGGACAGAAAGGTGGGCAGGGATAGCTTGAGCGCAGGGGAAAAGCTAGGCACATGCCCACAGCAGAGCATGCCAGTCTCCTCGGGGTCCTGGCGACTGAATCCTTGTGAGTTCTCTGCCAGGCGACATCTTTTGCAAAAGAGCTTAGATGCCGTGGAATTCTGGGTAAGCCCCTAATAAAGCCAGCAGCCATGTGCGCTGTGGAATAAGAGTTAAAACACAAGGAAAAGCAGAGTTGCCCAAGGGGCATAGGGGCTGCTGGGTGCCACCTGTTGCCGCCTGCAGCTCACCCGACAAGAAGGCAAGTGGGGCTTGGATCCTCAAACACTCTAATCAGAAAGGGCAAGAAGGCTGCGAGGGAGAAGCTGGGAAGCTGGCGCAGTCAGTAAAGCACTTGCATGCACCTGAGGACCTGAGTTCGAGGCCCAGAATGCATGGGAAAGGCCAGGCCTAGACCTGGAGGGATGGCTCACCAGTTAAGACAGCGTGCTGCTCTTGTGGAGAACCAAAATTTGGTTCCCTCATTAGGCACGGAACGCGAGCTCTAGGGGACCCAACACCTTCTTCCAGCCCCCACAGGCGCACACGTGTGCATACCAACATAGGTACACACACGTCCATGAATTAAAAATCTTAAAAAAAGAAAAGCTGGAAATGGCAGTGCTGGAGGGCAGCAGAGACAAGTCGGTGCCCTAGGGGTCAGAGTTTCTGAGTCCAGCTTCGCCTACTTGGTGAGTCTGAGGCCAGAAAGAGGCCTTGCCTGCAAAATGAAGGTGGCCGGCACCTGAGGAGCAAAACCTGAGATTGTTCTCTGATCTCTACACGGGTGTGCACACACACACATGCACCTGAACACATGCGTGTATGCACACACGAGTATGCGTATGTACACACACACGGACACCTATAAGCATGAGCATGCACACACACACACACATGTACTCGCACACACAGGAGCATGCATGCAAGTGCACACACACGTGTACTCACACACACAGGAGCATGCATGCAAGCGCACACACACTAGAAGCCGGAATGGAAGCACCTGAGGAGCAGGCCCCTGCTATAGGGCAGTGCCCTCCAAGCAGAGCCGGCCCCGCACCTTGTTGAGGTTGATGTGCAGAGCAGGCCAGGGTCCCGCTGTCTTCACCGTCTCCAGCTCCAGCTTCTTCAGATGGGCGGCTGCCTCGCTGTACAGGGAAGGTGCTCCTGGACTCAGCTCTGCAACACAGCCATGGGAGAGGAAACAGGGGGGTTGTAATGGCAGCTAGATACCCATTTCCTTTCCTGCTCCTCCTGCTTGATGCCACGCAAGAACATCTGACATCAGGGGTTCACAGCCTTCCTCCCTTGACAGGAGCTGGGTGGCCCTGGGCATGACGCTTGACCTCTCTGAGCCTCTGAGCCATTTACAAATGAAAACAGGAAGTTCTTATCTTGCAGGGCTGCTATAGTATTTCTTAAGTGCGATTATTTTCATAAAAAGCCTTAAACGTGGAAAGGCCTTTAAACACGCTGAAAAGATGGGTGTCCAGGCTGATAGGCAGAGCAAGCTACCTTGGAGAATCGCGGTGTGTTTCTGAGCCATTGGCTCTTTGTATCGCGTTGCCTTTGTTTGCCACCACGCATCCCTCTAGCTTGGATTTATTTGTTAATGCATTAAACATTCGCTAAATATTAAATATTCATTACGCAATAAAGCTTGTGCTTTATTGCTTGTTAGCAACTGGCATCTGGGGAGTGGAAATAAACAAATACGACAATGATTCTAGTGTAAGTGGGTGGGGGGGTGCTCCTCCACATAAAAGCCCTGAGAGCTTTCATCATTGCTACAGGGCACGAGAGAGTAGATACCCACCACCAGCACGCTCATCGCCGCTCACAACATGTGAGCCGGCTCCTGAGGGACGCAGAGGCTTACTAGGGCAGAGAGAAAAGCATTGTGGGCAGAGGGAAGAGCCGGCACAAAGGACAGGGCGCGGTTAAAGGGCAGAGGTTCCGTGCAGCTGGAGTGTGGGAAGAGTCTGGGAGGCCGGGACCACAGGGTGACGCTTTGGGGGTCTATATGTGAGCATGCTCCAAGTGTGGACTCATCCTGGGGCAGCGAGGCACTGGTCTTTTTTTTTTTTTTTTTTTTTAAATTCTGTAAAGCATTCTGTATGCCTGCAAGCTGGAAGAGGGTACCAGATTTCATTTTGGATGGTTGTGAGCCACCATGTGGTTGCTAGGAATTGAACTCAGGACCTTTGGAGAGCAGCCAGTGCTCTTAACCTCTGAGCCATCTCTCCAGCCCAGGCACAGAAGGTCTTAATGCTGACATTGGCAGCTTCTAGATGGTGGCTACTTTGGAGGAGGGGTCCTGTTAGGAGGCCATGACGGTCATGATGGTCGCCTCCATGCAAAATATATGTGTGTGTGTGTGTGTGTGTGTGTGTGTGTGGTGAAGGCGGGCAAGCACAGCATGGGCAGTGTTTGAATTCTATACCCCAAGTGGGCCGGGACTTCCCATCTTCCATTCAGCTAAAGTCAAACAATTCTTGTGGTCTGAAGATGAGGGCTGAGGAGCTCAACCTGTCTCAGCAGCTCACGGCTGCATGTCATGCCAGGCTAGAAGATTCCTTGGCACTCACTGCACACACTCCCTCCTGCTCACAGAGGAACCAGAGAGCATCCCGGGCTGGGCAACAAGAGCCAGCATCCCGCCCCCTTACAGGTCTTGCCTCAGCGCTCCTGAAGGGGAGGGGTAAGAGAACTGTGTGGCATGGGAGTGGGAAAGAGGCTCAGGGGCTCCTGGGGGCAGAAGGGGGCGGGGGAGGGAAAAGATCAACAAATAGAAATTATATTTGAAAAAGTCACAATGAATACTGAATGTTAGTTTTTTAAAAAGCAGATTTAGACAAACAATAAAATAATAATAAAAATTAAAGGTAAGGGCCATGTATAGTGGTGGCATACACCTTTAACCATAGCGCTTGGGAGGCAGAGGCAAGTGGATCTCTGTGAGTTTAAGGCTAGCCCGGTCCATAGAGTAAGAAAAAGAAAAGGAAGGAAAGGAAAAGGAAAAGAGCTATTACTTTGTCTCAGTCCATGTAAGACAAATTCCTAAAGGCGAGTAAAATGAGCTTTTAGAAAACAATGTACAAAATGCAAGCCCATTCTTATTAAAGTTAGCAGAGGCCAGATGAGTCACGCTGCCAACCACATACCTAACTGCTTCCTTCATTATTAGCATCTACAGGATGGCTTACACCACAGGCCCGCTGGACCCCTGACACCACTTTGCTGGTGGAAGCAGGTGTCACAAAAGGGCAGAGGAGATTTTACTGTCATCAGGACACTAGGAACCCCAGCCACTGTCTGACTCACCCCTTTTCTCTTCTCCACTGCTGGAGCTGGGAAGCCAGCGCAGAGCACAGCCCAGGTCTAAACTAGGAAGCAGGAAGGAATGGTCCTCTGTACAAGGTGCCCCAACCCAGTAGCCATGGCAACACCACCCACTCCTGTCCCCCATTGGCCCTCCCCCCTTCACCCTGCTCCCTCCACACACTCACTGGTGAGGGCCTTGCTGGAGTTTGGGGACCTCAGCGGCCCCTCCTTATTCTCCAGGGTCAGCGAAAGGCCATAGTTGGAGTGGTGCTGGTGCTGATGGTGGTGCCTCCCCGAAACTTTGGGGGCGAACGGTGTGCCCCCATTCTCCTCGAGGCCGAAAGGCAGCCTTTCTGTGGGGCTGAGTGCTGGGGAGGAGAGCGGGTAGCTGGGGCAGGCAACAAAGTCAGGATTTAGAACAACACAGCATTTTGCTAACACCTTAAACCCTGAGGCTCAATATACAGACCCCTACTTAGTTAGGGCATGGGGCCAAACCGTGTGCAAAGAAGATGAACAAAGCGGGAATTTGTATACATTAGCAATCTCACATCTTCAACCTTAAAATGGAAAAAAAATAGCTTGCATTTTTAAAAAGCCATTTTCAGGGCTGGAGAGATGGTTCCGTGGTAAGAACACAGGCTAGTCTTGCAGAGGACCTGGTTTCCGTTCCTAGCACCTACACAGCAGCTCACAAGCATCTATAACTCCCGTCCAAGGGGATCAGACGCCCTCTACAGACAATGTGTGCACATGACAGACACACATGCAAAAAAAACGCTCATACCCATAAACGTATTTTTTTGAAAAGGGCATCTTCTAAATGCATGATGAAACGAACAAAAAACAATAAATAATGCTTAAATGATCCTATGTTATAAACCAGAGTCTCTTCTCTCTTCATACCACACTCAGAAAGTCCCCCTCACGTCCCTACCCTTACATTTCTTCTCGGGGTGACCTGTAACTCAAGCATAGCTAGCCAGAACCTTCCACAGTTCTGTTTAGAGGGGTCTGACCCAGGCACACTTACTTGTTCTAACTAAGATAGGAGCACTCTTGTGGGTGCTCACAACAGCCTCTAACGCCGGCTCAGAGGACCCATTGCCGCCTTCTGGGCTCCTCGGGCACTGCCTTCGTGGGCACAAACCCTCACACATAGCCCCATAATTAAAAATGAAGCATTTTAAAAAAATATATAATTCTTGGTAGTGCTGATATTAAAGCAATTCTATTAATATAACACCTTAACATACTTTTTTCAACTAAATGTTTATTTTTTCCTGACTGTAATAGAAATTCAAGCATTTTTTCACGGATTCATAAAGTACTGTCATGCCAGGGTACCATGTTCAAATTGTCCAAAGAGTAAGTCAGTTTGGGCCATCAGAATGCAAATTGAAGTTTCTTGTGGCTATCCTTCCCAGACAGAAAGTAGTTATATCCCTGAAAAGAGGCTAAAACGTGAAGGGAGAGAAAATGAGCAGAAGTTAAATGTAGGTGGAGAGAGAAAAAAACTCTAATGGCATAACTTGGTCACCTAGATCCAGCTATCCGTAAAGCTGATGCTACTGCTAATTCCATAAGGTTCATGAATGCACCGACTGGTTGACTGATTGAGGTAGTTGGGTTTCTCTCACCTAAGCCACATGATCTAAACCATGACTTATTTATTGTTTTTGTGGGAGACAGTAGACCGCTGTGGAATTAAACGGTAGAAGGGGCCAATACAGGCCTAAGGAACAATATGAGCGAAGGTCATAAAGGGGTCAATACAGGCCTAAGGAACAGTATGGGCAAAGGTCATATGAGCAGGAAGAGTATATGAAGGGAAGGGCATGAGGAGGGAGCCAGTAGGTGGCGCTGTTCAAATGACAAGCTGAGCTACTTTGAAGAGTGATGTGTACAGAGTTATCATTTGGGCAGCAAGGGAACCCTGGGAAGGGTATGAGCTGCCCCCTGGGAAGTTCCTGATAGTGTGAGAAGGGTTTGGGGACACTGAGGAAGGAGGTGGGAATGGGCTCATTCGCAGAGGCAGGGCAGAGGCCAGAACAGCTGGGCTTGTCACCACTGGTGCAGCCGCCGGATTCTTCAGCCACCCCGGCTGCCCTGTGGAGATTCACTCAAGGGCACTCTGCAGGGCATGCACCTGGAGGAAGTGGAAGGCGTCATGGTTTTGAGCTCTGAGAGCTCCACCCTCACCTCGTCCTCTTAGAAACAGTTCTGGGTACCCACCTTCCTATGGGGGACAGTAAACAAGCAAACCAAGTAGGAGCCGAAAGTCCTCTCCTCCACCCTGCTGAAGCCCTGCAGGGGACCCTGGGTAGCGGTCACTGGGATTCAGCTGAGAAGCTGTACAGCTCGGATTTGGTAACAAGGCTGTGGACTACAAAGCCCACGGACATTATTTTCCCATCCCTCAAATGTATTGAAGATATTGGCTTTCTGGAGGTGCAGTGGGGCTCTCAGAAGAGCAGATGTCCCTTATGGGGGCTGGAGAGGGCTTCCCAGTCGATAGCTGGCCTTCTTCTGCCCTGTTCAGAGTCAGAGAGGCATTAGGATTGTCCAGTCATGAAGGGCAGAAACACAAGAGAGGGCCATTGGCTGGATGCAAGAAGAGACCATGGAGACAGGGAGGGGCGAGGAAATGGCAGGCAAACGGCACAGCATCAGGAAAAGAGGGGGGGTGGGGAGTGAGGGATGCTCTGATGAGCTTCAAATGCTCACAGTGAGTGTGGGAATGAGCACCCGCAGGGAAACATGGCCAAGAGCAGACAGCTGGCATGCAACCAGGCCTGGAAGAGTTGGAGAGCTTTGAGGAAGAGTTCCTGAAAGATGGCAAATAGATACCGCCTCAGGTGCCAGCTCCATCTTCACCTCTGCCCAGAATGTGAGAAGGATTCTGAGGTCCAGCTCAGCTCAGGGAGAGCATGCTGGGATTGGTGAGTGATGCTTGTCACAGGCTTGGAAGGCCACCGTGCTATCATGAACTTGTCTCTATATGTGGAAAGGGTGCACTTTTTTTTTATTTCCAGAAAACCCAGAATGAAGAGTGAAACTCTAACAACAAAGAAACAAAGCAAAAAAAAAAAACTCATCTACATGCCAAGAGTGAGAAAAAATCACATAAAAACATGTCAAGTAAAATATGCATTTCTGATTTTCCTCTTACAGCTATTTATGGAGTTGGATTAAAAAGAAGACAAATGGGGAGAGAGTGGACGAGGGTGGGAGAAAATGCCTGGGCTAGAGCAAGAAATCTGGTACAGCTGAGGGTCCCAGGAAGAACAACTGTTCTTATTGTGAGACAATTCCCTCTGATATTAAGACTCAGGAAAAAAAAAAAAAACCACACAAGTCTCAGGAAGTTCCTGAAACATAATTGTTTCACAAGTTCCTCCCTCCCTGAGATTATATAAGCATTTAGGGCTGCTGAGGAGAGAAGACACTCCAACATGCTGAGCTTCCTAGAAGCCATGCAGAGAGCCCCAGGGTTTCAGCTTTTGTGAGCTGCCATCCCTGCTGGAGTGAGTTTTTGGTGATGTGGCTGCCTTTGAGTCATCCATGTTCCTATAAGTAACACCAATGTATTCGTTGCTTCGCCAAGTTGGAGTTTAGTGGTATTGTTGCTTTGGTCTGTTGTTGGGTCTCTATTGGGTCTCTATCCTTCTCGAGTCTTTGATGGAGTGAGCATTCTCTGCTCACACACAGGGACCATTTTGAAGATTCAAACAAGGGTTTTATTGAATTATAAGTCTGTTAAAGAGATCTCTCAGGGTCCTATGCTCATGGATTATTCCGGTAGGATTTCTGTAGGCAACATTAATGCAGACTGTGAGGTCAATGGTATCCACAAGGACGTGTATCTGCCTTGTGACCTCAGTAAGTCAGACTCACAGTATAAGGACCAAGTACATGCAGCAACACACCAGCCTCAGGGATGCTGGTCATGACTTAGGATACCAGGCCAGCTCCATGCTCACTGTCATTACAGACTGACGCTCATGGGGTATTTGGGATTCTGGAAAGGGAGTCACAGTACTTCTAGAATCTACTACCAGAATTGATACCAGGACAGGAAAGGAAAGGGGGGAGCTGAAGTCAGGGTTTTCTCTTAAAAACAGGAGGAATGAGGGTGCTCTTGAGAAGTCAATCATAACCTTAGCAGTGTAGGCAAGTTCTGGGTGACACAGGTCCTGGAGAATCTAAGCTGAGAAAAGAAATCACAGATTTTATAATGGCGCCCCTCAGATATCCTCTGGTTCTGTGGTTTAAACTGTGGCTGAATGTTAAGATCATTAGGAAAACCCTTATACCTTACTGGAGGGAACACAAGATGATTCATTCCATTTGAAAAAACAGCATGGTGGATTCCCAGAGTTAAAGACACAGTTTTTATATGATCCAGAAATTTAAAGCAAGGTAAGAATCGAAGAAAAGGGAAGGGCTGTGAAAAACCTCACCTGGATGCTCATGAACAGCATTACTCGTAATCCCTCAAAGGTAGAAACAGCCAAGTTCATCGATGGATTAACAAATAGTCAAAATGTGGTATACTGACACAATGGAAAATCCCTAAGCCACGAAAAGGAAGCGAACTACAAACCCATGTTACAATATAAACGAACCTTGGAAACACTAGGCTGCTTGAAAAAGACACCAAAAGTCACACATGTGATTCCATGCTCGGAGCAATCAAACAAACAGGGAGGGAGGTCAGAGGCTGTTTAGGAGCAGGAAGGGCGGGAGAGATCAGGAGTGAAAGACGATTGCTACCGAGATTCTTGGGGAGGAATGAAATATTCATAAAGCAGTAAAGCCCACGGCCGTATAATTTTAGGAAAATAACAACCTGTACACTTCGCCGAACCATACACTATGTGAGACAGAGCCCGAGCAAAGCTCGAGACCTTGAGAAATGTCAATGATAGCGCTCCTCTAAACATAGGCCCTATCTCTAAACCTGCGGCCGGCCCAGGAACCGCAACTCTTTCTCCATCCTGCAGCCAGCTTATTTCGCATATGGGCTCGCCATGGGAAGAGGGGTGAGCAGGTCACACAGCCAGAGACCAGCAGCTGAGTCCGGGACACGAGCCAGCCTCCCACTTTTTGCCTCGGAGCCCAAAGGGCAGCCCATCTGCTGTACCAGCCATCTGCTTGGCCTCTACTTAAGGCTGCATGTGTACTTACCAGGGAAACCCAAGTCCTCTCAGAAGTTGCTGGCTGAGACCCCTCATGGTCTCCGCCTTTCAGCAAGTTCCACAGGAACAGCAACCACCGCATGTGTTTGGGTCCCTGCTGTGCTGGAAACAGGGAGTGCTCAGGAGGCCAGAGAGGCCTCAGCAGACTCAGTAAGTAATCCAGGCCCCCCCCCCTGTGTTTGGCACT